TATTTCTGGTCTCATGGACTCTGGGCAATGGGGTGGTAAGTTGCTTTTGGGTTCTCCCAGGTTTTAATTGGTTTCATTTAACCAATGCCTAGAACTATGTTAGGCATAGTTGGGAGATAAAGAAAATGCATAAGACAGAATTGCTTGCCTCAAGAAGCACATGGAGGTTTAAGATATCAAGATTAACACATTCAAACCAATTAGAAATAGACTGTTTCAAGGTGGCAATTAAAGACAACTTTCTTAGAGCTCAGCCATGGCTGGCCTGTTTTGGAGACCCAGCACAACACAGAAACTCAGGAGTGCCTGGGCTGAGAGATTCTTCAGGAGGCCAGAACTACCTCCAGCAATAAGAACCAAACTCAGAGATGGGAAAACTTCAGGATGCAGGACTCATAAAAATCAGGTGGCCTCTCACCTAGAGATGCTTTACCATCTCCTCTCTCACTTTCATTAAGAGAAAGTTATAATAACCAACATTTATTATGTGTCAGGCACTGTTCTAATTGCTTTAGCAGAAGTAGATCAATTGATCCTCTGAATACCAGTGAAGTAGGTACTATGATTACCCCCATTTCTGGATAAGGAAACTAAGGTACCAGGAGGACCTAGCCACACTGCCAGAACCCAGAATCCAGGGTAAGGTTCCTGATCCCAGGCTCAGCTTCTCCCTGTGGGCCAAGCTGAGGACCTGGCCAGGACTTAGGATGTGAGAACATAGTAGAGACTGCAGCAGAGATGGCCCCTTGGAAATTCTGGAGGGATGCAGAGATGTTCTTCCCTGGGAAGGTAGCCACATCAAAGAACTCCCACCCAAGGGCTCTTGGCTGCAAAACCAGCTCTACCCCTCCTCTTTACTCCATGCTTCATCTTCTGAGAGTGAGGAAAGCAGCAGATTGCAGCTTCCCCAGGCTTCTTGCTGACTAAATATCTCATCTACATACTTTCCTCCTGTTTACACATCATGGTGAGCAGGTGGGCAGAGCATAGCCATGTAGATTTGCAGACAGTCCCAGGAATACCAGGATTGGGGATGGTAGGCAGAGACTGTATCAGCAAAGGAAATGTTGGTCGAACTAATGACCTGGTAACTTCCACGAGGGATTGCAGAGGGATGCTGGATAATGTAGCAGGGAGTCTGCTTGCTTTGGAAACTTTCAGAAGAGAGAAGGGGAAGTAGGTCTTCCTGGAGGATCCTGAGCTTGAGCTGATCACTGGAGAGAGTGGAAGTAAGAGGGGCTGGGTGGGAGCCTCCTGGACAGAGATGAGAAGGACTCTGCACACCCACAGGACCATCCATGCAGGGACCCAGGGAGGCCACACTGAGGATGGGGAAGAGCCAGAGTGGAGGGGTAGAGAGGCCTTCACTGTGAGCTTCAGGAGAGCCTGCCTGTTAGGCTTTGAGAGTCCTCAAAGAGCCTGAGAAGGGAGCTGCTGTGTTCTCCACAAATCCTTATTTTACTTGTTTTGAATATAACTGAAGCAAAAAAGGAGAGAGAATCCTGATTTTTCTTTTATAAGAGACAAAACTTCCAAAATAGTTCATTTTTGCAGTCCAGTTGCTTTGATAGGAAAATTGTGTGCATAGGGATATTTAAATGAGAGCTATATCTGTGGTGAGAATAGCTCCATTTCCCTGAAATGTTTGCAGCCATAGCATTCCACGTCCACAGGCTTGCAAATCTCTCCCAGAGCTCAGCCCACAACCTGCTCTTCCACCCACACTGAAGCTGAGTCTCTCTCCCGAACAAATAATACTATGTCTTTCTCCAGGCCATGAAAGGATGGTAACATTCCTACAGAAAATAGCAGCAGCTAGGGTCCTTTGTTGAATTAAACAGGAGGCAGCAAATTCAGGAACTGGATAATGAACACCTACTATATGGCAACTACTGGGAATACAAGAATGAATAAGACCTTACCTTGCCTTGAAGAGGCTCAGAGGCCCAGGGAACCCATGGGAGACACAGCCCAGGGTGCCCTAGGGGCTGGGTGACAGATTTTTCGTTTTAGCACTGAAAGTTCCACATCCCAGGAAAACTGCCCTAAACCTACATCCCCAGTCCTAGTTAAACTGGGGCTATTGTTTACCTTCCTGGGGGGCTCTGACTGTTGGAATCTGTTTCCTCATCTCATTCCTTGCCTCTGTCCTACCCCTGTAAACAGACTTTTGAAATTAGCTAGCATTTAACTTCAAATAATAATAATGATTAATAATGAAACTAACAACGGCAACAGAAATCTATCCTTTATGGTGGTTCTCCACCCCGGCTGCCTATTAGAATCCCTTGGGAAGCTTTTAAAAAAGATCAGCACCCAGGTCCCATCCTAGAAAAATTAAACCTGACATTCTCCAGGTGCTTTCCATGCGCAAGCAGCAGGAGAAACTGCCTAGGGTCTAGGATGCCACAGGAGAAGCAGCAGGAAGGGGGCTGCCCAACCCTGGTGTACTTCCTGGGGTGTTCTCAGCTTCTGAGCCAGACCAGGGCCGCTCAGGGATGAAAGGGGACATACCCAGCAGGTCCTAACACAGACGCTAATTTGGGAAGCAGCCTCTGAGCCACACACCACAGGCACTCCACTGCATCAGTTCTATCTTGGGGCATGGTGGGAGACGCATGGCCACGCAGCTGGGCTCAGTGCCTCTTCGAGAAGGACTGCAAAGTGTGGCTGTCCTCTCCAGTGGGCCTGGGAACCTACGAGAGTCCCTGCCCACCCATTTCCAGGCCCCTGGCCTTGCTTCAACAAGTCACGCCTGGGCTGTTTTCTAGGCTGTTGCTCCCTGGCTGTTCTGGGTTTCCCATTTGTCACCTCCATGAGAGAAATTAACAGTTTTGCCAGACCCCATATAAACAGGAAGGCAAGCTGTTAACAAGAGCCTCCTGCCCTGCTGCCAAGCCCAGAGCTCACGTTTCCTTCCTCAGAGCCTGTCAATTGTAAAGAAAAGAATAGAAAAGAATGGGCTCTCTCTGGGCACTGTATGGGTTCTCTTGCAGCCACTTGAATGCCAGTGTCAGGCTCGCTGACAGCTGTGTCTGCAGCTGGCTGGTTTTGTCTGTTTTTTTGAGGGATAGCCAGGGATAGCCACTGATTAAACCAGGAACAAAGCAAGACTACACTTGTGGCTGTACACACCAATGCTGCTGAATGGCAGAGAACAATTAATTGCCATGTTGTGGAATGTGTGGATGGGGGCAGGGAAACAGTTGGCAAATGTAAGAATGTGCAGGAAAATGTCAAGCAAGTGCTTGTGTTCATTAGAAGCTGAGGGAGAGGGAGCCAGCTCTCCATGTGTTCCCAGGACCTACCACAGTGTCAGAGCCCTGGTCACTGCCTGTGTGTCCAGCAAGCAGCCTTCCCCACTGGGGGTGGTCAGCCCACTGATGTGCTGCAAGTGAGTCACGCTTTGTCAAATAAGATAGGGAGCCCCTCAGCTCTTGGGGTGGCAGTTGTATCCATTGGCTTGAGTACAGGGTGCAAAAGTGCCCATTTTCGATGTATGCTGTTGCAGAAAAAGGCCCTCTCTCGGCAGGTTTCCTATGGGCTTCACTATGCAGGGGGTTCTCTGTGATGCTCTGGAAGCTTGCATCCTGACTCTTATCCAAGAACCAGACAGGAGGGCATTGGTGGGAGGCAGCAGTCCCTCAGCCTTCCCTACCACCAGGTAAGAAGATGGCTGCTCTTCAGTGATGGAGATTCACAACAGCTTCTGCAGAAAGATAAGAGTGGGAGGGTGTATGGGGACAGGCACTCTTCAGTTTATGATGGGGCTACGTCCTGATAAACCCATTGTAAGTAAAAAGTATTGAAGTCAAAAATGCATTTGATACCCTGATAAACCCATCGTAAAGCTGAAAAATCCTAAGTTGAACCATCATAAATCAGGCACTGTCTGTATGTATTTAAGCTAGAGAAGTGAAAATGCATTCATATATTAAAAGAGATGAGGCTGGGTGTGGCAGCTAATGTCTGTAATCCCAGCACTTTGGGAGGCCGACGTGGACAGATTACCTGAGGTTGGGAGTTTGAGACCAGCCTGATCAACATGGAAAAACCCCGTCTCCACTGAAAATACAAAATTAGCTGGGGTGGTGGTGCATGCCTGTAATCCCAGCTACTCAGGAGGCTGAGGCAAGAGAATTGCTTGAACTCGGAGGCAGAGGTTGTAGTGAGCTGAGATTGTGCCATTGTACTCCAGCCTGGGCAACAAGAGTGAAACTCCACCTCAAAAAAAAAAAAAAAAAAAAAAAAAGAGACGGAAAAGAAAAGAGCAAGAATGGTATCCAAAGGGGTCTGGAGTAGCTGTGAGATTGTTTGGGGCCTGGACAAAAGGAATTTAGAAATTGTTGTATGCCTTTTGACATATCTCTATGAATGCCAAAGATTGAAATTCCTTTTAATAAAAGCTTTATTGCTTGCTGAGCTATGTATTGAACTTCCTGCTGAGACTGAGCCCCACAGGGCCCTGGCATTTATTGGGGTTACACAAAAATGTAATCTTTCCTATCCTATATCCTCCCTGGAGAGCTGAGCTCCAGATAAGGGATGGTGTGCAGGTGGTTTATTTGGAAGTTATTTGGGAGGTGATCCCAGGGAGCAGAAGTGAGGGACTGAGGAGAGAGAGGGAAGGAGGGATTTTCAATATAAGGTGTGTTATTGAGGCCATTGCTGAGCAACTGCAACTTAATCCCTCCCAGGACCATTAGAGGAGCATGTAAAAAAATCTCTCACGGTCAAGTACAGTGACTTGTGCCTGTAGTCCCAGCACTTTGGGAAGCTGAGGCAGGTAGATCACCTGAGGTCAGGAGTTTGAGACCAGCTTGGCCAACATAGTGAAACCCCATCTTCACTAAAAATACAAAAATTAGCTGGGCGTAGTGGCGGGCACCTGTAATCCCAGCTACTTGGGAGGCTGAGGCGGGAGAATCACTTGAACCCAGGAGGTAGAGGTTGCAGTGGGCCAGGATTGCGCCACTGTACCCCTACTCTGGCCTGGGAGACAGAGTGAGACTCCATCTCAAAAAAAAAAAAAATCTCTCAGGGTTGTCTATCTGATGGTTAACCAGAAGAGGCATTCATCTGCAGCTCCCACCGCCCCCTGTTCGAAGGTTACACTGGAGCCATTAACTCCCTCACAGTCAGGGCCGTGCACATGTGGGTGCTAAGTGGGCTCCCATTAGTGTCCACAGCATTGTAGAAATCCCAAAATAGAGAAAGCAAAAGACATGGGCTGGCTCTTAAGGCAAGAGGCTGTCAGGATGAGGCCAGCATAAACTGCAATTAGAATCAGGGAGGTTGAAGATGAGAGGCAGAACACCAGAGGTATCTGGTCTACCATCCATCACAGAGAATGTGGGCCAGGCCCCTTCCTGACTTGACCCTTGGAATGACTGAGATACAAAGAGAGGAAGGGTATGTGGCCTTAGGCCACGCTGTGGCAGAGAAAAGTTCAGGGCTTTCCTACATTCCTTTATCTGCTCTCTCCTACCTTGAGGGGTCCCCTGACCTGTAGCCTTCAAGGCACTTATGCAATGGCAACTCCTGAAATTTCCACTGCATCACTGCCTGTCTGCAGGACTCCCCTGCCCTACAGCCTGAGTCTTATAGCTTCCCAGTAGTCCCACCAATTGCCATTAAATCTCCCACTCCTTACTGGGAGAACTCTACTTACTGTGTCAAGGCAAAAAGGTGATTAAACTCTCTCACATGGTTGTAATTTGGGCCTAAAATAAATGACTCTAGTGGTAGCATTTCAGGTAGGCAGATCCAAGGAAGAAAGATTTGTAGACAGAGTTGGGAAGAGGGTCAAAAAGCCAATGAGTCTCCCTATCCTGAGACATGCCTTGATGGAGCCGCAAACTGAACTCATGTTTTCCTGAATCTATCGTATTTCATGTGACAGGATGGAAATGCTTCCTTTCTTAGCCAGTGTTGCTTGTAACGAGTTCCCTGCAGCTCAGGGAAGAGAGCAACATGTACTGCTTTGTTGCTTCCTGTATAGAGAGGGCAGGAATGAGGAAGTTCATAGAACACTGTCCTGAGCAGCTGCCACAGGAGACCCACCCCAGGCTCTGCGTGCAGAAAGGCACATGGCAAGAAATTCCCATCCTGCACATATGGGTGTGATGGACACCCTTACTTCTTGGACTTAAGTTCTGAGGCAGCTAGACTGAAAAGGGCTCCTGCTTGATTTAAACAATTGAGCTCTTCCTCTTGGCTCAAGTATCTTGTTGCCTCTTGCCCTGGCTTTGCCACTGAACTTGGGCAAGTCTGAGCCAATGCTGAATGAATAACAGAAGATGCTGGTCCCATTTATTTCATGTACTGTGCCTCTGGTAGGTCATGGTTAGTGCTATGGTATTTTTATTTTTCTAGCTTTCTTTTAAAAATAAATAAATAATTTAAAAAATTATTATTTAGAAGTTTACCATAACTATTAGCTCTAGTTCTATCCTAATTTGTGCTTCCCTTGAAACAATTTCCAAAGGATCTTCTTTCCCAAAAGGGAGATTGGGGGGAGTTTAGAAAACTTAGATTTTGGGCTTTTAAAAAGTTGACATATGATGATTGTACATATTTATGGGGTGCATAGTAGTGATGTTTTGATACATATAATGTATAGTGATCAGGGTAATTAGCATATCCATAATCTCAAACATGTATCATTTCTTCGTGTTAGGAACATTCACTATTCTCCTTCTAGCTATTTGAAACTATATGTTATTGTTAACGATAGTCATCCTGCACTGGTAGAGAACACTAGAACTTAGTCCTCCTATCTAGCTGGAATTTTGTATCTTTTAACAAATCTCTCCCTATCACTGTCTTCCCCCTACCCTTCTCAGCCACTGGTATCCTTCCTTCTATTTTTTACCTATATGAGATCAACTTTTTCTTAGCTTCCAGTATGAGGGGGAACATGCAGTGTTTAATGTTCTGTGCCTGGCTTATTCACTTAACACAATGCCTTCCAGTTCCATCCATGTTGCTGTGAATGACAAAATTTCATTTTTTTTTATAGCTAAATAGTATTACTGGTGTATATATACCACATTTTTTTCTTTATCCATTCATCTGTTGTTGGACACCTAGGTTGATTCCATATCTTCATATCGTGGCTATTATGAATAGTGCTGTAATAAACATGGGGTGCAGATGTTTCTTTGATATACTGATTTCCTTTCCTTTGTATAAATTCCCAGTAGTGGGGCCAGGCACAGTGGCTCATGCCTGTAATCTCAGCACTTTGGGAGGCTGAGAGTGGCAGATTGCTTGAGCCCAGGAATTTGAGACCAGCCTAGGCAACATGGCAAAAGCCCATCTCTAAAAAAAAAAAAAAAAAAAAAAAAGCCACGTGGGGTCGCACGTGCCTATAATTCCAGTTACTTGGGAAACTGAGGTGGGAGGATCGCTTTAGCCTAGGCTGTTGAGGCTGCAGTGAGCTGAGGTCGTGCCACTGCACTGCTTTTATAAAAAGGAATTTCAGTCTTTAGCATTCATAGAGATATGTCAAAAGGCATCCAACAATTTCTAAATTCCCCTTGTACAGGTCCCAAAGCATCTCACAGCAGTGAGACCCTGTCTCAAAAAACAACAAACAAACAAGAAAAACCCCAAAAATAAATAAATTTCCGGTAATGGGATGGGATTGCTGGATCATATAATAATTCTATTTTTAGTTTTTTGAGGAACCTCCATACTATTCTAAATAGCAGTTGCATTGGTTTACCCACTGACAGTGTTTAAGAGTTCCGTTTTCTCTGGATCTTTGCCAGCATTTGTTATTTTTTGTCTTTTTGATATTAGCCACCCTAACTGGAGTGAGATGATATCTCATTGTGATTCTGATTTTCATTTCCCCAATGATTAGCGACGTTGAACTTTTTTTTCATGTCTTTGTTGGCTATTTGTATGTCTTCTTTAGAGAAATGTCTATTCAGATTATTTGCCCATTTTTTAATCAGTTTTTTTTTTTTTACTGTTGATATATTTGAGTTTCTTATGTATTCTGGATATTAATCCTCCTTCATTGTGAATAGTTTGCAAATATTTTCTCCCATTCTGTAGGTTGCCCTTTCACTCAGTTGTTTCCTTTGCTGTACAGAAGCCTTTTCAACTTGATGTGATCCCATTTGTTAATTTTTGCATTGGTTATCTGGCTTTTTGAGGTTTTATTTAAGAAATCTTTGCCCAGACCAATGTTCTAAGTTGTTTCCCGCATGTTTTCTTCTAGTAGTTTTGTAGTTTTAGGTCTTACATTTAGGTCTCAGATCCATTTTGAGTTGATTAAGGGTGAGACGTGGGAGTCTAGTTTCATTCTTCTGCATAGGGATACCCGGTTTTACCAGCACCTTTTATTGAAAAGACTCTCATTTCCCCCCATGAGTGTTCTTGGCCCCTTTGTAAAAAATCTGTTGGCTATAGATACATGGACTAATTTCTGGGTTCTCTATTCTGTTCCTTGGATCTATGTGTCTGTTTTTATCCTAATACCATTCTGTTTTGGTTACTACAGCTTTGAATATTTTTACGACTGGTAGTATTATGCTTCCAGCTTTGTTCTTTTTGTTGAGGATTACTTTTCCCTGAGGAGGCTATTCTGGGTCTTTTGTGGCTCCATATAAATTTTAAGATTCTTTTTTCCACATTTCTATGAAGTACGTCATTGGTATTTTGATAGGGATTGCATTGAATCTGTGGGTTGCTTGGAGTAGTATGGTCATTTTAATAATATTAATTCCAATATTAATACTTCTAAACCATGAGGATAAGATATCTTTTCAGTTTTTTGTATTCTCTTCAATTTCTTTAATCAGTTTTGTAGTTTTCCCTATAGAAGTCTTTTGCCTCCTTTGATAACTTTATTCTCAGGTTTTGCTTTTTGTTGTTGTTTTTTGTTTTGTAGTTATTGTAAATGGATTGCCTTCCTGACTTCTTTTTCAGCTTGTTCATTGCATATAGAAACGCTACTGATTTTTGTATATTGATTTTGTACCCTGCAACTTTACTGAATTATTTAATCAGTTATAAGAGGTTTTTTGTAGTCTATAGGTTTTTTCATACATAAGATCACATCCTCTGCAAATAGGGACAACTTGACTTTCTCCTGTCTAATTTGGATGCCCCCTTTTTTTTCTTTTGCCTAATTGCTCTGGCTAGGACTTCCAGTACTACGTTGAATAAGAGTGGTGAGAGTAGGCATCCTTGTCTTGTTCTAGTTCTTAAGAGAAAAAGCTTACAGTTATTCCCAGTTCAATATAATATTAGCTGTGGGTTTGTCATATATGGCCTTTATTGTGTTGAGGTACTTGCCTTCTATACATAACTTACTGAGAGTTTTTGTCATGAAGGGATGGGTTTGGTTTTATTAGTCAGAGTCTATTGACTAATAAACTAAAAGTAGAACTCCTTAAAGGTGTGTGTGTGTGTGTGTGTGTGTGTAAGGTGTAGGGGGAGCAGTTTATCCTTCTACAATTATGGGATCTGGTTAAGGAGTCTGTGAGACTATCATCTTTGTGTCTAATGATGGAGTTTGAAGTCCTTTGAAAAGATAGTTGGCAAGTGCAGGTGAGAAAATGGACAAGCATGAAGCGGAACCTATGAGGAAGGATAGAAACCAGTGTCAGTTCCACTGCCTCTGACTGGATGGTTTGCATGTCCTTCAAGAGAAGCTGGTACCCTCTGTCATGGAACTAAACACACATTTGGTCTGGAAGTTGAGAAGCTGAAGAAGAATCCAGGGGAAGGTAGAACTGCTATAGGCTTGACCACTACCCCTTACAAACAAAGTGAACCAGCGGATAAAGGATAACATTTGTGAGTGACAAAACGGCTGCTGCTTAACTTCCAAATCTCACACAAGGGTTTCTTTACTGGCACAGCCTAACCGGAAACATATAGGAAAGGGAATTCTGTGAAATGTAGTTCAGCCTAGCCAAGCTGACATATTACAAAACCACCACATGTCCTAAACAAAATAATAATAAATTATTGTTTGGCAAAATATTAGCTACCATCATTTGAGCAGTGTTCCAGAAACTTTATAGAAGTTATTTAATGTCATACTCATCCTTTGGGAAAAGTATTCTATCCCCGTTTTACAGATGAGGAAACCGAGACTGAGAAGTTGCAGTGAGCATGGTGTCATGGACCATCCAGAGCTCAAAACCCCTCTTCTGTGGGGAAGTCATCCCCACAGTTTCAATTATTCAGTCTACCCTTAGTCAGAGGGATGAACATGTACCCAGGCTTGGTCAGTCAGAACATCTTACCCTGTTGGTCACAACGGCTTGTCCATCAACAGCCCTTGACCCAGGCTGAGTCAAATAGAAACTTCCCTGGAACTTTTCTGCGAGGGAAGATGTGATCCTTGTCTCCAGGAAGTTGCTGCAAGGTAAATCTGCGGCTTCTGGTGGTCACCATTCTCACAAAGTAGAGCATGCTTATCTGAAAGGTAGAAAAAAAGATCATTTGAGCCCCTCAATGCAGCAGTGCCTGAAATTTTCTGTACTCTTGAATCACCCACGTTGCATAACCCTATAAACTTCATGTTTGCTGAAGCTAGTTTGGGTTGGAGTTTTGTCAGTTGCTAAAAAGAGACTAATAAACAAATTGGTATCAGAAGAGGAGTATTGTAAGGGATCCTAAAATGTAGATTCCTTATGCATGGAGGGGAGCAGAACCCTTCGGTTTTCCAAGTACATAAACCAATCAACTTTTGATTCTTCTAAAGAAAATGTAACTGAAATCGAGAGAGTTATGTCTAATACAAAGGTTAAACGATTTGCCCATGATTACCCAGCTAGTTAAGAGCAAGTACTGGAACTCAAATCCAGGGCTGTCTGATTCCAAAGTGTAGGCTCTTAACTGCTGCATCATGCTATAACCATGCTAATTTAGCACATCTGGGCTTATAGCAGGCCCTGTCTCCAGAGCTTCTCAATAAAATGGAAAAAGCTGCTTGAAGGAAAGTCTGAGGGGAGCTTCCCAAATGCCCTTTGGAAACAAAGGAGATTGTGGGGTGAAGCAAAAGTGGCTAGATTTTGAGGTCAAGAGCAAAGGCTTTGTTCTGGGATTACAGGCTCCTTTGGAGAAGGCAAGCAAAACAAAAACCTCTGGGATTCATGCAGCGGTCCTTCCTTATTTGTGCCTATCATTTGCATCCTTCATGTATAGGACTTGAATAAACAAAGCAAATGGACGGTTAAGGCAAAGTTCGCCAAGGTCAATCCCCCAAATTCTAAACCCTAGATGTTAAGTTGCTGCCTTATTTTTATGTATTTCCAGGTATACAGATTTTTAAAATTTTTTTTGAGATGGAGTTTACTCTTGTCAT